TGTTATTTTATTTCACTGTATTTTTAAATATAATTAGTCAATTAATCTTAATTATTGTTTTATTATTTTCTTCTAATTTATTTATTTATTTTAGCACCGATCTTTTTGTTTTAGTTGAACCACTTTTGACCAGCAATTTATTCAGTCCAAATGTCAAGTTGACATCTTTTATTATAAACCTCAGCAAGTCTTGGCCAATGCATGCCACAAAAGAGACTTCGTTTTTGCTGATGCAGAGTAGAAGTCATATTACTTTCACGCGTGCGTTGCACTTTCAGTCATTAGCTTATTAATAAACCCTTCCATTTCAAAGTACAAGTTGACATAGCATGTGATTCCCATTGACCAACTATCATAACTCTCCTACTAAGAATTGCGTTTCAAGATAACCCTCACACTGTGGTAATAAGGTACTGGAATCTTCCAGTTTCTGATTGGAATAAACTGATTTAGCCCATACTCTGCTATTCTGTACCATTGGTATCTCGTGCCTGCGAATGTGTCAAAATGCATGCACTACTTTTCCTAGCAGGAAACAAATTAAGATGAGATCTTCGATGGAAGTTGTTAATGCTTTGAGTGAATACCCAATGCCTGTTTCTTACACTTAAAATCTGTTTCTTGTTACAGAAGTTGCTTATGGTATGTGATACATGTTCAGTTTAGTACGATTGAAGAGAGGTAGAGATAGAGAGGGATATTTAAGAATTCACCGAAGGCGAATGATTTACACAAAAACTATTGCCATTAAATTTGTTTGAGAGGGAGGAAATCCAGGCTTGTATAGTGATTATTAAATGGGTCAAACCAAGTTTATAGACATAAGTTTGTTCAACTCTTTAATCCAGTACTCGTTAGTTATGCAGAACAAACCTTAAATTCTTGCAATGAAATTTCAAAAGTGCTTTCGTTGATTATAGTAAGAAACTCGTTCTTAATTTTAGATTTCTAACAAACTAAGAACGTTTTCGTTTACGACCAAGCATAATCGAGCATCTTTTATGAAGATACTTGTGATAAAATTCATGCATCTAATAACCTGTTTAGTTATATTTGGTCACGTTACTTTTTAAGATCCAAGTGATTCAGTAGCAGATGTGCAGCTTTCTAGATATGGCTTGAGGTGTTGGATTAGTATAATACCCACGCACTGCTTGTTCGAGTTATTGGAAGACAGAACACAGTTTTTTTGTTCTATCTGACCTTTGTCTTATTACGCACTTTCTAAGTAGTCAAATATAAGAATTCAATGCATGTTTAGCTCAGTTTACCTTTTACTAATCAGCATTATTATATAAACTGTTTTTTATTCTATTTCTAATTCTCTTTATTGGGATTGATACATCGCAATGTGTTTACCATGTTTCAAAATTCTCTCTCTTCGGGTTAATATTAAATCCTCTCTCTTTTGAGTTCTCACCGGTACTTTCTATATGGCATATTGTTAATTAAGATCTGGCTCTACATATTTAATGGTGGTTATGTTCAAAATATATAAGATGTAAACTAAAAATCAAGACTATCGACCCAAATTTTTTACAGTAACAACAACGATGATTGAATCTAATATCTCATGTAAACTACTCAATCTCTTTCTTAGTATCGTTGACTCAAGTGTGTTATTTTGAACCTTCCTGCGAAGAAAAAGTTGAAATAAAAAATGGAGAACATCACGAATGGCATAATGGTACGTGAAGAGTTTCATGTCTCTTTGGGTTTCCCAAGAGGTATATGCAGAAGGATATACTCTGTCACGAACTTTAGTTTTGAAATGCTAAGAACTTGGTTTCCAATGCTTTCTCTGCATTCTCTTCTCATGGAATGAGGCATGCATCTCTCTGTACCCTATATAAGGAAAGTATTTATATTTGCTTAAGGAATCCTCTGAAAAGAACATTAACAATATATATGTTCTCACTGAATGTATTTTTTGTAAGCAATATATATGTGTACAAGCAGTATCCATATACCTAGTTTACATAGTTTTTAAACAAAGCAAAGGTATAAATTTTATTGATTGGACATGTTCAGAATTTGTATTTCATGATTGAAAACATAAGCAGATTTCATTGTGTAAAAACAACCTATGCTATTTTTTAAATGTATTAAAAATATTACTTTATTATCTTTTATTTAAATTAGGTATTAAGAGATTTTATTATCTTTTAAAAGAGGAGATAAAAAGATATTAAGTTATTATTTTGATTTATTCATTTATGATTGAGATATTATTAATATTTGATATTTTTTAATATTTTTACTCTATATATACATAGAGTACATGAATAAAAATATACTTATATGATATATCAGAAATACACATACACAAAATCCTATAAATTCTCATAAGTGGTATCAGAGCTTTGGTTCGATACAATGGAAAGAGAAAGAAACTTTTCACAAGTCGCTACTCTAATTTTTTATGGTGAAAGTTATGACTTATGGACTGTGAGAATGCAATCCTATCTTGAAGGATTGGATGCATGAGAAGTTGTAGAAGAAGATTATATTGTTGATCCGCTACCTAAAAATCTCACCATAGTTCAAATGAAATTTCACAGAGAAAGGAAAACAAAGAAGACAAAAACTAAATCATGTTTGTTTGTTGATGTTTCACAAATTATCCTCACCAGAATCATGACGCTAAAGTTACCCAAAAAAATTTGGAATTATTTGAAAGATCAATATAAAAAGGATGAGAAATTTCGAGGTACAAAAATTTTAAACTTGATAAGAGAATTTGAAATACAAAAAATGTAAGAGTATGAAACAATTAATGAATATTAACAAATTGTTAGGTAATGAATTTTTTGATTCCAGAATAGTTGAAAAAATTAAAGTATTGTTTCATTGGAAAATATAAAGAATTTGTCTAATATTATTTTGACAGAAGTGCTACATGCTTTACAAGCGCAACGAAGATTGATGAGAGAAAATCATGTTAGTGATGAAGTTTATTTACTATATTATGATTGGAGAAAAATTATAAGGTGTCTTTTAAACATAAACTTTGTGTGATTAAAGATACAAATAACTTAGAAATATTTAAAGTTCACATGAAAGAAAAAAGTTTCAATTTAGATTTGATGAAAGAAGAATTGATTACAAACGATGATATAAAAGAAAAGTCAAAGAAAAAACATGAAGAATATTTCTTGAAGGAACTTGATGTTAAAGAGAAAAATAAAGATGTAGATGAATAAACCATTTCCAAGTTTCCAAATTTCATCAAAGAGTAAACGGTACTACCATAGAGTTTGAAAGAAACAAAGGAGATGAAGTTGATAAATGAAGAAATACTTTGATGAAGAAAGTGAAGTTGAATGAAGATGTGATCTTGTACAAGAAAGATGACAAGAAATACAAACAAAAAAGAGAAAATTTTTAAGCAAACTAAAAGGAAAAATATCAAATTCAAATAAATAGATATTAAAGTAAAGAGAAATGTTAAGAGTATTACTTTATTATCTTTTATTTAAATTAGATATTAAGAGATTTTATTATTTTTTAAAAGAGAAGATAAAAAGATATTAGGTTATTATATTTTGATTTAGACGATTATGGTTGAGATATTATTAATATTTAATATTTTGTAATATTTTTATTCTATATATATATATATATATATATATATATATATATATATATATAAAATACATAAATGAAAATATACTCTTATAATATATAAAAAATACACGTACAACTAATCCTAAAATTTTCCATTTTCCATCATCATTAGTGGGTGGGGAGGCTACTACATAGAAGATAATATCTTTAACCTAAAATTCAAATTTGATATAATGCAATTAGTATCAAGGGTTAGATATTTTTTTGATGAACAATAAACAAATGTAAGATTTCTCCGTATGTTTCTTCTCGGCAGGTCGAACGCATGAATTATAGAGATGCGACGCAATAGTTGATCATTTATTGCTTGCACAACTATCGTCTTAACATGAGTCACGTCCAAGATCCACGATTGACTTTAGAACAATTTCGATGGAAACACATGAAACATTGTAAAATTAATCAAATTTTCCAAAATACTTAATAATAAAAATAATTTTGAGAAAGAAAGAAATATTTATTTAATTTTTTCACTAACCCATTAATAAAAGAGTGATTCAAGCATATTAAACTAATAAATACTTAGTTAAATATTTGAACTATTTAAAATAGTAATAAAACAGGTAAATATAATTCAAATGTTAAATTAATTTCTAATAATATCTTATCTTCTAATAAAAGATAGTTTGTTTAAATTTAATATCATTTGCTTCAAATGTTGAATGTTATACTAATATTTTACTCCTAAAATTTTCAACGAATTCAAATAAAATTAAGCAACCCTAAAAGGTTTTTCAAAATTATACTGAAAAATAAATTTATTTATTTGATCTTATTCATAGTAATATTTGTAACTGACTAGTATTGAAAGGAGACATTTTATTATTTTTATTGATGAACTATATAAAAATATTGTTATGTCTATTTACTAACTTATAAGAATGAGTTATTGGAAAGATTAAAGTTTAAAGTCCAATTTTGTACAAAACCCCTGAATAAACCCTATTGATACAAAATCAAATCTTATTCTTACAATTTTTGTGTGTTTTTAAAAACATTATTTACGAAAATCATTTTAATATTTTACTTTCTTTTTAACTATTATTTACACGTTTTTATATTCAGTTACATGTCTTTTTACTTCATATATATTAATTGAAGTCCCATCAATTCAATAATAAAAAAAATGTTAAATTACTTATCTATTCAAAACATTACACAATCACATGTATACTACAACCAAATCTACAAATTGAAAGTACATAACAAAGTTAAATATAAAAAAAAATGTTTCATGAACCATTTGAAAAAAAAGAAGAAAAGAAATACAAATAAAATACTTTGAACAATTATTCCATACTCTTGGTTTTTTTTGGGCTAAATTTGTTGTAGAAGATCGGTATTAACTTAAAACATGTTTTACTCTCTTGTTTTCAGGCAATAGCAACATATGGACTTGTGAATGTTGCAGGTCCCAAGGGTAAGACTTGCACAATCTCTTTCAACGTGTGTGCTTCCTTCACAAGAGATGCGGAGATGAATTATTATCCATACTATACACCTATAAATATATCGATTTACACTCCTCCAAAATATACATTTTTGTAAAATACACACTTCATTTATCTTCTTTTCTCTCTTTTTCATTATATATTTTATTCTGTGTTTATATATTCTTTTAAGAATTGGTTGCTATTCTGAGTTACTTGACAAATTTCGGGTTATATTATGAGAAACTTGCCCAATTCTAGTTTTCTTGATATCTTCTCAGCTTTTAAAACAAAATCCATACCTTTTTCACATAGTCATCCCTTTTCTCCTTTATTTTTTTTTGCCTTTTATTCTGATAAAGTATTCATATTTTGGCTTTTCAATTAAAGTAATGTTAATTTGTCATGAAATCATAAGTTCCTATGTTTACTGGCCATCCAGCAATTTGCTTTTAGAGTTCCACGTTCAAGGCATCAACGTAGCTAGGCACAGTAGCCGTGCCAATTGTGTTTCAAGTTCACTAACAATTTGTGTGGCTTACGATAAATATTAACAAATAGTGGAATGCAACATGTATCGAAAGTTGGCAAAGCACCAAATGTGGCTGAGAACGTAGCTTTTGATTACCATTTACTTTTCTGCATCTAATTATAAGTAAATAAATGGCAGATAGCATGAGCTGTCACAGTCGAACACAAAACAAAACTAAATAAAAAATCAAATTAAGGTAAGAATATGAAAAATCTTCTCACCTTAATTTAACTATTTATCATTATACAAGAGTAAAATTAGATGGGAGACTAGCTAACCCAACTAAGGAATAAAAAAGTTGAGCCATGACAAATTACTAGTCTCAAGTAAGTGACAAACTATTTACAGATATATGTTCGGAGGGTTTTGTTGGCGTCTTTTCTTTTTCCGGTGAGTCTGTGGTTATGTCTGGGATCATAACTTCAACGTGGTCGACGGTGTTTTCAATATCCGCAACAGGTTTTATGATACCTCGATGAAGAAGGTGTGGCTTCTCTGGTGAGACATTGGGTTCTACAGCATTCTTGAACTGGGCTAAGTGAGAAAGCTCGGAAACAGACTCGTATATTTTCTCCACTGACTTGGTGATTTCTTCAAGTATTGATGCAACTGTGGCAACTGGTATTATGGGTAGGAGTTCAGTATCTTCCAAAGAAACGGTTTCGAGAGCAAATTTGAGGTCTTCAACTGCAGTTTTTGAATTTTCTATGTGGCTTTTGGCAACTGATGGGTGTGTCATTGTTTTGATTGAGGAAGATATTGCCTTCAACGCCTTGTTGGACTCTGAACTCATCTTTGTGCATGGTTCTTGAACTTTACACTTGAATTCCAAAGATGCCTGCAGTAACCAAAATGCATGCATATTAGCTTCAAGCTCATAGAGCTAAATTTGTTTTTTGGTTTTGGAGTATTCTCACAAATGTATATTACAGCTACTTAAAAGTTCGTTTGAAATAGTTTTCCTTGGTTATTATCAAGCTAAAGTTGTTTTGATAATAGACATTGAAGTGCAAAGGTCTCAAATATTTCATGTTTTCACGTAGAGAGAATGATGTATTACTTGGATTTCCGGGTTAAGGTAGTTGTTAAGGGTTTCTATCTTGTAAGCACATCCCCGAGTAAGTGCTCCAATCTTCAAGTACTGCTTCCAAGGATGACGAAGACCAAAACGGCCATGTCCCGGTTCCCACCTTGCCAAATTTGCCTGTGCAACATATTACGTTAATATTTTGATCAATCTATAGCAAATAAAAATGTTCAGAAGGAAAAAAAAAAGAAAGAAAAAACTCACCAAGGACTCCTCACTTGCTTTGGAATTGAGAACACTTTTGTATCCTTCAAGAACTGACTTCTCACATTTTTCTTTATCTTCTGAGCAATGAAAATATTCGACTTCAAATCCTGAAAAAGTGGTAAGATTTAGATGTTAACACATGAAACACAAAAAGAAAGCATGTAACTAATGGTGGGTCGAATATAGATATACCTTCTAGGTAATTTGCCAGCTTTTCTATGTTGAAAGCTACCAACTTGTGAAGGTCTTCACCTGCCCATACTGGACAAATGAAAATGGAGATGACCATGCAAGCTGTTGCCCCTATTAAAATTGTTGAAAGTCTCTGATGGGCAAGCTCAAAGAGTTGCTCCACTCGATATCCGGAGACAGTAACCAAACAGAATGTCAATATAAATATCACCATCCCATAGTCATATCTTGCTTTGATCTTTGGAAAAAACCTGAAAAAAGTAGCCCCTGCGGCTGCAAACACAAACCATTCAGGGAGCAAATGTTAGTCTCAAATCCATGCGGAAGCTCATTTTCTTTGTTCAAAATATTATATCTATATATATACCTAGAATGAAGACGAGGATCCCAAGGACAATAGGTTTTTCTCTTTCTCCAAAAGCAGTAGCTAAATGTTGCCCTCCAACACCTAAAGCACCAGCTAATAATGTAGCAAATCCTCTATTTAAACCTTTGCATAGGGTTGCACCTGGTTAATTAGGAACAAAACATATTATATGTATGCATTAGTCTTTAAGTTTCTTCAGACTTTGGCCATCAATTATATAATAATGAGATTTACATATGAAGTGTGTTTGTGCAGTATTCTATAATGTCTCCACTTACCTACGCTGAATTCAAATACTACCACCACTGTCAAAACAGCCCACATTCCAGCAACTCCGAAGCCATCATAAAGAGGCCTCGAGTAGTAAACCAAGGATACCAACGTAAGAGCAATTGCCACTTTTAATGAGTGAATTACTCTTCTGGGGTCATCTTTTCCAATCTGTGCTATGCTCCTTGTGAAGTTGACAACCATAAACTTGATGTTCCTAGGCATAGCCTTGAGGCAGTTCCCCCAATGAGCAAAAAACCCTCCCTTGTTTGCTTCCATTGTTGACTCAATATCCATGACTAGATATGGGATGCAGAACAACCTTGCCACAAATGTGCTGTGTGATACGGCAAGTTTTAGGAAAAAGCTAGGAACAAAACACCAACTATGAAATGATGTGAGGTAAAGATTTTGAGAAGTCTGGGAAGAAAATGACTTTGAAGACTGATATTTATAGGAACAGAAGTACAGCTGTGTCGGGAAGCAAAGATTTTTTAATCAGATACATGAGTTGCTGTCTTTTTGCTGAAAGAGAAAGACTGGTTCTCTTTGAGAAAAAAAGTACTTTGTCACGGCACATATGTCATTACGATTAAATACAAAATGCCCATAACTCTAAAAGTGTATACTTTTAGAAATTTATTTCCCGGACCAAAATAATTAATGCACCAAAACTTACATAGACAGGGAATGTTAGGATATATGCTTCCAGCTATTAATAGTTTACTTCCGAAAGCAGATTAAACAAAGTTAATTACAAGAACAGAGGCTTAAGAAAGATTAAATAGGGTAGTAATTCAGTAAGACAAGTAACTGTACATATACTTTAGTCAGACTCAGCCATTGAATCGCTGTATCCCACCTCCTTTTGTTTTGCCTTTTTCCTTTGGTAAATTATAAATTTTCTCATAATTTTCCTATTTATTCTTAAATAGTTTTCAGTTATTTAATACTTTTAAATAATATCTAATTTACCTTAGTATCTTTCTGTTTAGCTTATCTTGCCATCATAGTTGGAAAACAAAAATCCAAGGCAAGGTTGGCAAAAACTATGGAATGATACAGAATGCTCCTATATTTGAGCTACATGGTATCATAGAATTATATTCTGGGATATGATCGCAGAAATGAAATTACATTTTTGAGTTTTTTCTATTTCTTTGTAAGTATTTATTTTATGTTAATATAAAAGAAAGCTTATTTTCTTTCTATGACCCATTACCCTGTAACTATGTCACCGCTTTAATCGACATAAAAGATCAATTTTAACCTACGTAAAAAGCCTTTTATACAATAGTGACATATATTTGAATTAAAATAACCTTTTTGTGATGTATAATTAAATACTGAATATGTTACTAATATGAATAGAAAATGTTTCAGGAAACTTGATCAAGAGGCAATTAATTACTCATTTGACTTAATTAATTTTTAACTAAGGATGTTTCAGAAATAAAATAAGTAAATGAAAAGAGTGATAATGAATAAACAATAAGATCATGGTCGTGTTCATTAATCACTCGCAAGTGCACATGGTAGGTTTGGGGGTTGTTGTAAAAGAGCATTGTGGTGGTGGTAAAGCTAGAGTTACTATAGCACAACTCAGTACAAATTATTTGTGAGTTCCTCTTTTACTTTGTCACAAATTCAGAAAATGATATTCATATATTTAAAATTAATTCAGAAAATGATAAATATCTTTCTCACATTTTCTATTTTAACATTATTTTAAATACCAAGTGAAGATAAATTAAGGAAAGTACAAATGTAACTCTAACTTAGAAATAAACATTATAATACTTGTTAGTAATAAACATATTCTAAAAATGAATCAATTTATCATCTATCACAGCTTACTAATTTAGATCAAGATTTAAAATAAAATGAAAATATTCTTTCAAGTTTAAGAATAACCTATACACATACATAGGCCTGGCCTGATATAATTTCTTATTTAATTAATCTGCAATAGTTTCATGTCCAGATTTTCATTCATATTAAATATGTCTAGTTTGATTAGAAAGTGGAAAAATGACGAAGCATGCATATGTCAGCCATTACAGTCGATATTGAAAAAGAAAATCACTTAAAGAATTGGACCAAGTATGAATAAATATAATAATATAACATAAAACATGAATTGCAATTAAACAACAGTATAATTATATATATATATATATATATATTTTATGTCACAATAGGATTTTGGTCATAAGTATTAATTAAAAGCTTAATCTTTTAAAACTGATTCGGTGGAACGATAATTATATATTCATTGATAATATTATTATATTTTAATCGATGTCTCACATCCTTTCTTCAGAACAATTTTTCATTATATCTTCTTAAAATGAGAAAGCATATTAATTTTGAGAAATATTTTCTATTTTATTTTTACAAGTTAAATATCTTAAAATATACGTAATAATATATCATATCATTATTAAATTAAAGTCTTAAATATTCTATAAATATTCTCAATTTATTATAATAAATAAATTTGTTAATTTCTTATTTATCCTCCCAATTTATTAAAAAAACAGAATATCAAATAATTACAATTAATTCATAAAAATTACAGTCTATATAATTAATTGACTACAATTTTATCTATGATATCTATAATATAGAATTAATCATGATTAAATAATTTATAAACAATTAATACAAATATGCACAATCTATCAACGATAATTTGAATTTTTTTCTATATCCGTTATTATATATATGATAGGGAAAGAGAAGAAAAATTTATAACATTAATTAACTTCTACCTCCCACGTGTTGATCAACTAACTATAAGCTCTCTTTTAAGTTCATTCTGCATGAGGATTTCGTACCTAACTGAACGCAAGTGCCCCACCGAAGAATCTGTTTACTATTATACATTTGAATTTTGAATAGAAATACCTGGCAATCAGTTCATGAACATGAAATGAAAAAAACCAGACAATGCTTCACTCCCAACAATAGTTAGTGTATTCATTCTGATAAAAGGAAACAAGACAAAGAGAAAAGGGATAAGGCAAAATCATGTTTACATCAGCATTTCTGATTCTCCAAATAAGGCCAAGTAAAGTGAATTCAACTTCATTCCATTGTTTTGTCATAGCCAATAAAAAGAAATATAATAAGCACAAGGGAATAAAGAAATAAAAAAAATAAAAAGTTGAATATAAGCACAACAAGTTATTAAACATATGATAATGGCCCCACGCATCATCTCTTTATTTGTAAAACTGATAACATAAAGAAAAGAACTTTCTGTTCTTCAGTACACTGGGAATCATTTTCCAATTCGTTCACTATTATACTTCAAAGCTGATCATAAATTATTTAGCCATGTGTATTGAACCAGGGCAGAGTCAGCACCCACTAGTGAGTAGGATCTGACTCACTCCTATCTTTCACTATATTTTCCTTTTAAATGAGAATGGTCTTAATATTTTAAAGCTATATACTCAACCAGGTTTGAAAATGAAATTGAACATCAAATTTCAAGTGAGCATGATGATTTTGTTCATTTTTAAGATACTCCGATGATAATCATCCGAGCATTACAATTTGACATTAAACATTAATTTTTTTAGTTTTTGTTAAAAGCAAGGACGAATCATTTTAAGAATTGAAGGACATTATCCCTCCAAGTTTTATAACTCTTATATAATTTATAATTTTAGATCTTTAACATTAATGGTTAAGATCCGTCACTGATTAAAAGAAAATTAAAATTAAATTATTTTCATGGTAATCGTTTTATCGATATTTTTGTCATTTTTTTCTTATAAATATGTGTACAAATCCTTCAATTTGATGTAAATAATGAGAAGATTCAGCTTTTGATTCTCAGCATTATTCTCTCTTTCTTTCTTCTTTTATATGTTTTGCGCTTTTTATTCTCGATTTTTAATTGAGGCATACTCCTTCGATTATTTGGTCTTTCCTCATGTTTAATTGTCTTTCTCTCACACTCAATACAATATCTACAACTAAGATTGGTACAGTAACTCGATATCCATACAATTCTTCGATAATCAAAGCATATATAGCAGTTTTCTTATGTTCGATATAACATTGAGACTAACATTTGATAAAAAGATCGAGAAGTAAGGTTTGATATGAACTGCTTGATGACCACTCTTTTTCTAATATGGTATCGAAACTCTTCATTTGAAGAGCTCTACTATGCACTCTAATTATCTCTTTCTTGGATTCTTTCTTTTTCTTGTTTTCTTCTTGGGTATCATGGAAAAATTAATGGATTCATCAAGTGTAGATTCATTGTCTCTTATGAACACAAATTCTTCTTCTACTACAAATAATTTTCTATATATTCATCTAAATGAAAATCCTTCAATAAGTTTGGTCTCTTCGGTTCTTGCTACCTTTACATCTTTAGCAAAGTGTTCTTATACTATTATTCCTATCCTTCAACAACATAAAAGAGAAGATCAAGTTATATGAGAGGTTTGAATGAATAGTACAAAAATGCCAAGTCCCATGTTCTTCTCATAGATTCAATACTTTCTTTATCCAAATAATTTCATATTTAGTTCAACAGGAAGGCAAATTCTTGGAAGTAATATTATGAGTCTCAATCATAAAATCAATATTGCTCCATCGAATAATTCTACTTGCAAGTCTTATGAATGGACTGGTCACACAGAAAATGTATATTATAGAAAACATGGATTTGTCAACAATCAGGATAAAAATAATTGAAATAATAAGTTTTGTACTCATTATGGGAAAAATGGTCACACAATTGATATTTGTTACAAGAAACATAGATATCCACTTGGACATAAACTATAAAATGAGAAAAGTATCAACAATGTTGTTTTTGAAAATGAAGATGTCAAATTAACTCAACAATATTATCAAGCTCTTATGATACTCGTACAATAATCCAATATTAAGGTGATGCTAAACTACACAAGTTAGCAACACAGGTTCTGTGAATTTACTTGTTTCTCATAATGTTGCTCTCATCACTTTATCATCAATTTTTACAATAATTGAGAACTTAGCATGAATCAATGGATTATTGATAGAGCTACTGATAATGTATCTTCTTCATTAACAAATTTTATTTCTTATAAACCAATTAAATCCATAATTATAAATTTTCCTAATAGTAATCATGTTTATGCTACACATAAAGGGAATGTAAAAATTAATGATAAAATTTTTCTCACAAACGTTTTATTCGTACCAACATTTTCTTATAACATAGTTTTTATGTCAAAACTTGTGGTCGAACAAAATTTTAACTGTCGTTTTGTCATAATTCTTGTATTATATAAGATGCTAGGAGCCACAAGAAGGTTGATATAGTTTATGTTAAAAATAATTTATATATCCTTAATGAACAATCATATTATGTGAATCTAAGTGTTAATTCTAGCAACAATGATTGTAATATTGACCTCTAGCATGCTAGATTAGGTCATTGTCGCAACCAAAATCATGGCTGAACAACAAAATTAAGTTTCTAAATAAAAGAAA